GTCATGACTACTCAATTACTGTAGTGTTACGAGTCGATTCCCAAATTGAAACACAATATTAGCCCGGAAATCTGTACGTAAAAGAATTTAGAATGAAGCCAGGAAACAACCAACAAATGGTATATAATCAACAATTGTATTACAAAATTTACTAGGTTTACAAATCAATACAAATCATTATTTTGTATTGTGACAATTACAATACCAGTATACAATAGAGTGGAAGCACAATATTCAATGGCAATATCAAATACAAAATATGATGGCATGACGATAGCAAAATGTTTAGTGGTAATAACATTCACCTATCCGCAACAGTGGTCAACCTTCGAGTTATGCCTTGGCTGGGATATCCGGGGCGGTAAGTGATCTTCACACGAAAGCTGGTGGTTAGAGTCAGTCGGCGATCGGAAGGACAAACATGTTCTACGTGGCCAAGCAGAGGCTGGGGAAACACACCGTGTCCTTTCAGGTCCGTTGTTTTAAAGGACAGTTCCCATTAGTTGAATTGTCCTAGATTTAGTCCGGGAGCGTGCTGCGATGCTGACGCCTATAAGGATAAAGAGATGCAAGTGATGCTGCGATGCTGGCACCTGTAGGATTAACAGATGCAGATGATGCTACAGGTCGACACTTGCAGGATTAACAGATGCAGGTAGTTGTGCGAGATCGACACCTGTAGGAAAATTAGATTCGGGTGGAACTGCGAGGTCGACACCTGTAGGATTAATAGATGAAAGTGATGCTGCGAGGTCGACACCTGTAGGATTAACAGAATCAGGTAGAACTGCGAGGTCGACACCTGTAGGATTAACAGATGCAGGTGATGCTGCGAGGTCGACACCTGTAGGATTAACAGATGCAGGTGATGCTGCGAGGTCGACACCTGTAGGATTAACAGACGCAGATGATGCTGCGAGGTCGACACCTGTAGGATTAACAGATGCAGTTGATGCTGCGAGGTCGACACCCGTAAGATTACAGATCCGGGTGATGCTGCGAAGCCGACACCCATTGGATTAACAGATGGAGGTAGTGCTGCCAGGCCGACATGCCAGTCTCGTTTGAAGGGATCAATGATTTAATGTTTATTTTGATAACGTTGTGACCGTGTCACTAGCGGGAACCAGTGAACTCACGCTGACCTACATTGTACGTCACGCTGGGGGTATCTTATCTGATTCCCAGGGACATGCGTGTACTACTAATGTATTACGCCTTTAATTATCGTGAATCTGTATTATATGTAGTCCTGCACCATGACCGTGGAATATATTTATTTTATGAAAAAATAATAATCTAGAAACGCATACAAAAGCAAGTCTAGCCAGCCCTAGCTAGATCTATTCCACATAGGGATTTTTTATATATTTTTAGTGTCAAGAAGGATATTGTGTAATATAAGATTTCAGAGACTAAATGTTAGTCTATATCATATGCTGTGGACCATGATGTACCCTGGGACGTTGGCCTACACATGTACGAATAAATAAGACATAAAACTATATAGTCAGAATCGTATTTTGGACTCTGCTTTTAGCAGAAACTTTATTACAATTATGGAAACGGTTTTGTCGCATGTATTTGCATTGACCATATTGACTTTAATTTATTGTCATGAAGATAATAGCGTTGATTTGTAACCTCTTTACCAACATAACATGGCATCTAAAAGATGTTTAAAAAAGGATTTATTCAAATCTTATTTTCCAAGGTAATTTCTGTCAAGCAGGTGTTTCTGTTCTTTACAAACATGATGGAGAAATCACAGATTATAGCCATTAATATTAATGACCACAGCTGCACAGATGTTCGTATCGTCCCGAGGCAAGCGAGTTAACCGACTATAAAAGTCCAGTTACCACAAACTGGACTTTCAGAGTCAGTTAACGCCCTTTCATCGGGAAGATGATCTCTTTTAAATCTAACTCAACTTTGAAATGTGGCCTTGTTGTACCCAAGCGTACATGTCTGGTTTCTTGCACACTGAAGACATCATGATGAGTATATAGTTCTTACCATCATACTAGTTATCAATATATTTGGCATAATCTGTCAAATTTGATTTGTTTGTTGTTTAACGCCGCACTCATTAATATTCCAGCTATATGACGGCGGTCTGTAAATAATCGAGTCTGGGCCAGACAACTCAGTGATTGATATCATGAGCATCGATCCACGCAATGGGGATACGATGACATGTTTCAAACAAGTCAGCGAGCCTGACCACCCTATCCCGTTAGTTGCCTTTCTCGACAAACTTAGTCGCCTTTTACGACAAGCATGAGTTGCTGAAGACCTCTTCTACCCCGGATCTTCAAGGGTCATTTTGCCAAGTAACAGATAACATTGCGTACGCGGATCAAGTAGCGAGGTAGTGATGGTGCGTGTGGCGGGGGTAGGGTAGGAGTGGGGAGGTGTACATGCAGTGATGATCTTGCACAACCGCAAATGAATACGGGATCGGATGGTCAGGCTCGCTGACTTGGTTGATGCATGTCATCGATCCCAATTGCGTGGATCGTTGCTCATGATATTAATCACTGGATTGTCTGGTCCAGACTCGATTATTTACAGACCGCCGTCATATAGATGGAATATTGCTGAGTAAGGCGTTAAACAACCAACCAACCAACCAACCAATCGAACTGAATATATACTGACGGGCAAAAGAAAGTATACACCCATTTTGGATGGTGGCTCAAATTGAACAAACAAGAAATGGTTATTCGATGGTGATGTATTTGATACGGGTATCAAAGTTGTGTTTCGGACCTTAAGTTTGCAGTGTTAAGGCAACTGTTTCAGCCTTCGTTTTGATAACGTTTGTAATGTAAAATCCAATTTTCAAGGGTATACGTTCTGTTGCCCGGCAGTTAAACTTAAATTGCTGGCTAGTAATCACATTGTGGCTTTCATGTTCCGGGGAGCTGTGTCTGCTTGTATTGATCCGTTGTTAGGAGCCTTGTCCAGTCTACATCTTGGCGTAGAAATTAGTGCCCAGTGTACAACAGAGACATCGTGTCTCTGTAATTAGGGTAATCAATAATTACTTGATTCACAAATTCAGTATAACAAAGTGTGTCACTTTCATTTGCATGTGTTTGAGACAGGTGCCACCGGTAGGGCCGGATACAGTCAGCTTTTCGCGAACATCTTGTATCATTACTATTTGATAGTGATTCATGCACACACGCTTATGATATAGTCTGAACAATAAAATGGATTCGTATGAATATGGAAAGGGTTTTGTGATTTTTATTTACTTACATTCTGCAATCTCAGAAATGAACCAAGTTTATTTCTGTCAACACATTTGATTTTTCAACTTTGTACACGTTGAGATTATGGAAATTTTATTCACAGACTTGAATCAAATTTTCTGGGACAGCGTCATACCCGTCCTCGTGGGTTTCACCAAAGTGGTAAACATTTAAGACCTGCATCGCCTGGGGCTTTGCTCCCTCATCCAGTTATATCCCGTTATATTACTGCAATGCTTCACTCACTCTGTACTTATAAATGACAAAAAGAGCAGATCTCGTAGTTCAATGAATATTAGTTTCATGGGACAGGCATCATTTTCTGCAAATAAAATATTTTAATCACTTTGTTCAATTATTGAATGATAAGTGCATTTAATTATTTGGTAAATTGCTGTAACGTCCTCAAAGGTAATTGGATAAAAAGCCAATTACGATTCATGAAATAAATACATCATGAAAGCATATAAAATATAAATTACTTTAGCAAAGCTGCATATATGGCCTTTTTATGTGTCTATGATATTTGGCAAATGTAATTGATCTAAAATCGACAAATTATTGTGTTTACGGTCAACCATACATAAACTGCCCGGCGAAAAAAGCATACACTTGAAAATTTGATTTGACCAAAACATTTCAAACGTTATCAAAACGTTATAGGGCTGAAAACTGTCGCCAAAACACTGCAAACTCACGGTCGAAAACACAACAATGATACTCTTATCAAATGCATCAACATCGATTAACCGTGTCATGTTTAGCCACCGTCAATAAAAGTGTATATTTTCTTTTGTCATGCAGTTTGCATGGAAAACAGTCGTGACATTCCGGATCAGAACGCTGTTATTTTATTACTGTATAACACTATTTGTTTTGTCTTTACCTGCTATGCCTATTAACAAACGATCCCAACCAACGGAACTTGCAAATTAGCACGTTTCATATTCGTAGGGTTAAGCGCGACTGTGCCTCGAGATATCACGGTGTTTTGAAAATAGCATGCAAAACAGGTTTTAGTAGCTTGCTACGCAATTACCTAGAGAGCTCGACTTTTTTCAAATAAACAGAAATACAATTACGCACCACGAGCAGGGAGTGTGGAATGTTGGATATAACCCAGCCTCGTCGTTATCTGTTTACGTGAATGAACCAAAGCTGCCGGGCAAGAGAAAGTATACGCCCATGCTTGCAATTGATGAAGGCTAAATATAAAACTAAAAAGAAATGGTTATACGATGGTGATGTATTTCATAAGGGTATCATAGTGGTGTTTTGGATCTCAAGTTTGCAGTGTTTCGGCGACTCTTTGAAGCCACGTTACATAATCTTTGTAATGTTTCAGTAAAATCCAATTTTCAAGTGTATACTTTCTTTTGCCAGGAAGATTACTTTCCTTGTATCTCTTCATTTTGTTTACAAACACTGAAATTGAGTTATTTTTATTAGGATGTTATTGACATATTATTAAGTTTGTAAACAGTATTCAAGTCTCTGTGCATGAGTAATTGTAAAAAAAACTATTTTTGGCTGGCTTCAGGGAAACATGTCAACAAAGTGTCAGTCCCAAAATAATTTGATAAAGATTTTGGGGAAAAAGGATATGATAGAAAATAAAAACTCCAGGTCGTATTCAGTAAACAAGAAACTGCGTCGTGAACAAAATATGTGCACTCAGGATAAGAGTACATGGAATCTATAATATGTAACTTAAGCCGTGTAGCTATCGGTACTTACCATAATGTTTAGCAGATGATCGTTAACAGCTTCCTCTGGAATTTGCACAAGCATAAGGACATACTTCTTAACGCCAGGCTTCTCTCGTGTGTGCGTTAGACGTATTGCGTTGTTATCAATCAACGGGTTGACTTTCTGGAGCGCAATCCACAAGTGTCACGGAATTAAATCTTCCCTGCACGACTCTGGTTTGTAATCCCGCTAACAAAACCGTCATTAGCGATACCCAGTACCCACAGGCTTGATATCCTACACACGGGCGTTGTACCGCACTGGTGTATTGATTGCGTAGCTTAACCAACAGATTAAAAACCGAATTCGCAACGATACAATATAGCTATATTTCCCTTGGAGAAATTACAGCATTTTAATCCTCAACCCATCTCGGTTCCTTCAATGTATTCTTGCTGAAAGCGACAGTTTGGAGTGATATTTTTTGTGTAGCATCCACAGGAAAGAAATCCTTTCTAATCATTCGCATGTCTTTTGTGAAAACTTCCGGGATCCTGAATGTATGGAGCTCGGCCTTTCATCTCCGTGAATGGGCGAACCAAAGTTCCAAGAATTTCTAAAGCCAGGAACCGAGCTAAACCAGTTCCACTCAATTTCGGTACAGGGGCTATGTAAACAGGCGTAATGTTAGTCGCTGAAGCCTGTGAACTTCAATAACAGATATACCAGTCCACTGACTAGAGCCTGGGCCGTCCCACAGTGTATTTGATCGTCGGAGAAGCACTCAAACTTAATAAATAGATGCCTGATACGGGAATCGATACAGACTCCACGCACCCTATCCTGACCCTGTCCGGAGTTTTATGTATGAATGAGCTATTCCAGCGGATAAGCACTCCGTCTTCGAGGCCAGCAGAATGCAGTGTTTATATCTGTTTCTTGCTTAAGGTTATGCGCATTTGTGTGAATGGCATATATTTGCGGACCGTTATTCGCTTGACATATTCTTATGGATTTCAGTTACACACGCTTTGACAGGCTGAAATTAGTAACTTACAATTTTCGCTTTGGGTTTCAGTTGCTTAGACAGGCCACAGCGCCTTGTCGGCGAGTCCAGCAGGCGGCACAACAAAATTACCCATAATTTTGTTCCCCGACAAGAACCTGGAAGCATGCCAGAGAGATAGGTTTTCCTGAATTTGGAGGAGTCTATGTCAGAGCAAGCGATACTGTAAGCGGCTCATTCGAAAGGCGATGACTCCGGCTCGGTTGTTTGGTTGGAGCGGTGGGATTTCTATTAATAATCCATCACCTGGGGAATCCCCGATTTACTGTTGCGAGTTGTAGTTTGTAAAGTCGGGTTTCATTAGCTACTTTTTAAGGAGATTGGCCAATGAAGTGAAGGCTTATTTGCGTGCTTGTGAAGTGTAAACTTCCGGTCTTTCCACGTTGTCCGTCTTTGGTCCCCGATTTTTTCTAGCGATACAAACTGTGGATTGATACGACGTAAGCATTGTTTTAATTGCAAATTGTTGACTAAGACGGAGATTCATATTCATATACCGTTCATGCAGGATGATGGGGTCATTTTAATTTGATTGTGTGAACTGACATTGCCAAGGACGAGGTGTAAATTGCAATACAATGCATTGTAAGATGAACAGTCACTCTTTAAAATGTTGATCAGACAGTAAAATCCCTCGAAAATAACAAAATTATACAATTTCAGAACTTTTTACATTTATCAAAAGTAGCAAAACTCATTGCCAGAATACCAATAGAATAGCATCAATTTTTTTGAGTAGTTGAAAAAATTCATATGACTCGGCAAACTTGCTGGTAATGTTATAGCGGTATCCCATATTCTTGTCATGAGTGACTCAGTGAGAGGCATTCAAAATGATGACCAGGGGGGTTAAAATATGTGTGACTTGTCTGATTGTGTGTTCCCCAATTAATTATGTGAAACATTATTCGTGCCATCAATCACTTATTTGACTGACTAAGACTTGCCGTAAAAGGCGACTATGCTTGTCGTAAGAGGCCAATAACGGGATCGGGTGGTCAGGCTCACTGACTTGGTTGAGAGCATGTCATCGATACCAATTGCGTGGATTGATGCTCATATGATGTCAATCGCTGGATAGTCTGGTCCAGACTCCATTATTAACAGACCACCGTCATATAGCCGGAATATTGCTGAGTACGGCGTTAAACAATCAACACACAAACTTCATTCACTCATTTTTTTGTTCACTCACTTCTTTATTCACTCACACTTCTTTATTCAATCACTTCTTTATTCAATCACTTCTTTATTCAATCACTTCTATACTCACTCCTTTACTCACTCATATCTTCATTGACCAACTTCTTTATATTCACTCACATTTCTTCATTCACTCCCTTCTTTTTTCACTCACATTTCTTCATTCACTCCCTTCTTTATTCACTCACATTTCTTCATTCACTCCCTTCTTTATTCACTCACATTTCTTCATTCACTCACATTTCTTCATTCACTCCCTTCTTTATTTACTCACATTTCTTCATTCACTCACATTTCTTCATTCACTCCCTTCTTTATTCACTCACATTTCTTCATTCACTCCCTTCTTTTTTCACTCACATTTCTTCATTCATTCCCTTCTTTATTCACTCACATTTCTTCATTCGATCCCTTTTTTCACTCACATTTCTTCATTCACTCCCTTTATTCACTCACATTTCTTCATTCACTCACATTTCTTCATTCACTCCCTTCTTTATTCACTCACATTTCTTCATTCACTCCCTTCTTTTTTCACTCACATTTCTTCATTCACTCACATTTCTTCATTCACTCCCTTCTTTATTCACTCACATTTCTTCATTCAATCCCTTCTTTATTCACTCACATTTCTTCATTCACTCACATTTCTTCATTCACTCCCTTCTTTATTCACTCACATTTCTTCATTCCCTCACATTTCTTCATTCACTCCCTTTATTCACTCACATTTCTTCATTCACTCCCTTCTTTTTTCACTAACATTTCTTCATTCACTCACATTTCTTCATTCACTCCCTTCTTTATTCACTCACATTTCTTCATTTGATCCCTTCTTTTTTCACTCACATTTCTTTATTCACTCCCTTCTTTATTCACTCACATTTCTTCATTCACTCACATTTATTCATTCACTCCCTTTATTCACTCACATTTCTTCATTCACTCCCTTCTTTTTTCACTCACATTTCTTCATTCACTCACATTTCTTCATTCACTCCCTTTATTCACTCACATTTCTTCATTCACTCCCTTCTTTTTTCACTCACATTTCTTCATTCACTCACATTTCTTCATTCACTCCCTTCTTTATTCACTCACATTTCTTCATTCACTCACATTTCTTCATTTACTCCCTTCTTTATTCACTCACATTTCTTCATTCACTCACATTTCTTCATTCACTCCCTTCTTTATTCACTCACATTTCTTCATTCACTCCCTTCTTTTTTCACTCACATTTCTTCATTCATTCCCTTCTTTATTCACTCACATTTCTTCATTCGATCCCTTTTTTCACTCACATTTCTTCATTCACTCCCTTTATTCACTCACATTTCTTCATTCACTCACATTTCTTCATTCACTCCCTTCTTTATTCACTCACATTTCTTCATTCACTCCCTTCTTTTTTCACTCACATTTCTTCATTCACTCACATTTCTTCATTCACTCCCTTCTTTATTCACTCACATTTCTTCATTCAATCCCTTCTTTATTCACTCACATTTCTTCATTCACTCACATTTCTTCATTCACTCCCTTCTTTATTCACTCACATTTCTTCATTCCCTCATTTCTTCATTCACTCCCTTTATTCACTCACATTTCTTCATTCACTCCCTTCTTTTTTCACTAACATTTCTTCATTCACTCACATTTCTTCATTCACTCCCTTCTTTATTCACTCACATTTCTTCATTTGATCCCTTCTTTTTTCACTCACATTTCTTTATTCACTCCCTTCTTTATTCACTCACATTTCTTCATTCACTCACATTTCTTCATTCACTCCCTTTATTCACTCACATTTCTTCATTCACTCCCTTCTTTTTTCACTAACATTTCTTCATTCACTCACATTTCTTCATTCACTCCCTTCTTTATTCACTCACATTTCTTCATTCACTCCCTTCTTTTTTCACTCACATTTCTTCATTCACTCACATTTCTTCATTCACTCCCTTCTTTATTCACTCACATTTCTTCATTCACTCACATTTCTTCATTCACTCCCTTCTTTATTCACTCACATTTCTCCATTCACTCACATTTCTTCATTCACTCCCTTCTTTATTCACTCACATTTCTTCATTCACTCACATTTCTTTCTTCACTCACATTTCTTCATTAACTCACATTTCTTTATTCACTCACTTCTTTATTCACTCACATTTCTTCATTCTCTCACATTTCTTCATTCACTTCCTTATTTATTCACTCATTTCTTCATTCACTCCCTTCTTTTTTCACTCACATTTCTTCATTCACTCACATTTCTTCATTCACTCACATTTCTTCATTCACTCCCTTCTTTATTCACTCACTTCTTTATTCACTCACATTTCTTCATTCACTCAATTCTTTATTTACTCACATTTCATGATGTCAATCACTGGAGTGTCTGGTCCAGACTTGATTATTAACAGACCGCAGTCAAAAAGCTAGAATATTGCTGCGTACGGCTTTAAACAACACACAATAAACACACAAACTTCATTCACTCATTTCTTTATTCACGCACTTCTTTATTCACTCACTTCTTTATTCAATCACTTCTATACTCACTCACTTCTTCATCCACTCACTTCTTTATTCAATCACTTCTATATTCACTCACTTCTTCATTCACTCACTTCTTTATTCACTTCTTTATTCACTTCTTTATTCACTCACTTCTTTATTCAATCACTTCTTCATTCACTCACTTCTTTACTCACTGACTTCTTTATTCACTCACTTCTTTATCCACTCATTTCTTTATTCACTCACTTCTTTATCCACTCATTTCTTTATCCACACACTTCTTTATTCACTCACTTCTTTATTCAATCACTTCTATACTCACTCACTTCTTCATTCACTCACTTCTTTATTCACTCACATTTCTTCATCCACTCACTTCTTTATTCACTCACATTTCTTCATCCACTCACTTCTTTATTCACTCACTTCTTTATTCAATCACTTCTATATTCACTCACTTCTATACTCACTCACTTCTTTATTCACTCACTTCTTTATTCACTCACTTCTTTACTCACTGACTTCTTTATTCACTCACTTCTTTATTCACTCACTTCTTTATCCACTCACTTCTTCATTCACTCACTTCTATACTCACTGACTTCTTTATTCACTCACTTCTTTATTCACTTACTTCTTTATTCACTCACTTCTTTATTCACTCACTTCTTTACTCACTGACTTCTTTATTCACTCACTTCTTTATTCACTCACTTCTTTATCCACTCATTTCTTTATTTACTCACTTCTTTATTCACTCACTTCTTTATCCACTCATTTCTTTATTTACTCACTTCTTTATTCAATCACTTCTATACTCACTCACTTCTTTATTCACTCACTTCTTTACTCACTGACTTCTTTATTCACTCACTTCTTTACTCACTGACTTCTTTACTCACTCACTTCTTCATTCACTCACTTCTTCATTCACTCACATTTCTTCATCCACTCACTTCTTTATTCACTCACATTTCTTCATCCACTCACTTCTTTATTCAATCACTTCTATATTCACTCAGTCACTCGTTCACTGACTTCTTTACTCACTGACTTCTTTATTCACTGACTTCTTCATTCATTCACTTCTTCATTCCCTCACTTCTATACTCACTTCTTCATTCACTCACTTCTATACTCACTTACTTCTTCATTTACTCACTTCTTTATTCACTCAGTTCTATACTCACTCACTTCTATATTCACTCGCTTCTTTATTCACCCACTCATTCACGCACTTCTTTATTCACTCACTTCTTATTCACTCACTTCAGCAACCCATGCTTGCCGTAAAAGGCGACTATGCTTGTCGTAAAAGGCAACTAATTGGATCGGGTGGTCAGGCTCGCTGACTTGGTTGATGCGTGTCATCGATCCCAACTGTGTGGATCGATGTTCATGATGTAAATCACTGAATTATCTGGTCCAGACTTGATTATTTACAAACCGCCGTCATATAGCTGGAATATTGCTGAGTGCAGCGTAAAACAATAAACCAAACCAAACCAAATTTTTACTCACACACTTCTTTAATCACTCACTTCTTTACTCACTCACTTCTTCATTCACTCACTTCTTTACTCACTTCTTCATTCACTCACTTCTTTATTCACTCACTTCTTTACTCACTCACTTCTTCATTCATTCACTTCTTCATTCACTCACTTCTTTACTGACTCACTTCTTTATTCACTCACTTCTTTACTCTCTC